GATTGGGGATTGGGAGGCTGTGACGTTTCCTGACCCCAGCACTGGCTGGGGGGGGGGGCACAGGAGAAGAGTCCCTGTGCCTGCACTCCCTGGAGAATTCAGCTAAGCACAAGCCCCCCCTGCTTTGGGGGACGCGCATGTGAGCATGGCTTGGTCCCTCTGAAGGCGGCCAGCTCCCACGTTCGTTTTTGAAGCAAAATGCCAGCGAGGAAAGCAGACTGGCTTTTCCCAAACACGTGGAGCTGCTCCACGGCTCGCCTCAGGTTGCCAATCCTCTGCGGCAATTTCACTTAGCACTTTTGCAGAGCAGCCCCTCTCCTGCAGCTCCTGCCAAGAAGAGGAGGTTGGCGGTGGTGCTGCGGGGTCCTGGGGCTGCAAGGGGCTGGGGAGGGAGCCTGCGCAAGGCCCAGACATCTGAAACCAGGTCCTTGAGGTCCTGCCTACCAGAGAGCCAGTGTGCGAGTGTGCTTGTTGCAGCAGGTAATGGAGAAGTGATGTAGCCTGTGAGAAGGGCAGAATGGGCAGGAAAGCTCAGTCAGGACCACCGCGCAAAGGGAGAGGAGGTGTAAAATCTCTGCTTGGCAGAGGCAGCGTGTCCCTGGGGTGAGCAGGCTTCTGTGGAAGAGGAATGGGAGGCAAAGGGGACCCCATGACCCCCCCGGAGTTGTCCTCAGGGCTGCTGCACATCGCTGGCGAGGTGCAGCGGGTCAAGGCTGACAGCGTGAGGAGGCATGGCCTCCCAACTCAAACAAGCCAGCGCAAGCAGCTCCCAGCCCCCTGCCTGCCCGCCCGCCATCCCAGACAAGAACACAGGGCTGCAGGCAGAGGTGTATGCGCAGCGTCGCTGTCTGCATCTCATCCTGCCTTTCTTGAGTCACAGACCATAAAACACCATCTGTAACGCTGAGCTCATGTTCAGTGTCGTCTTTCTGTTAATCACAGTGTGGTGAGCAAGGCTGTAGCGCGGGCAGCTGCCTCCTCCCCGTGAGGGTGGCCTGGAAATGGGAGGGGGGTGTGAGTCCTCCCAGGGACTTTAGAAACTCATCCAGTTCCAACCCCCTACCATAGGCAGGGATGCCCCAATCCCCTGTGTCCACCCTGCCCTTAACCCCTGCCAGGGATGGGGCAGCCACAGCTTCTCTGGGCAATCTGCGCCAGTGCCTCAGCACCCTCACAGGGAAGAACTTCTTCCTCATATCTAATCTAAATCTCCCCTCTGTCAGCTCAAAGCCATTCCCCTTTGTCCTGTCCCTACAGGCCCTTGTCAAAAGCCCCTCTCCAGATTTCTCGTCAGCCCCTTTAGGCACTAGAAGCTGCTCTAAGGTCTCCCTGGAGCCTTCTCTAGCCTGAACAAGACTAATCTAATCTAATGGCGAAGGAGTCTCACCAATGTGATGCCTTTGTCTCCATAGACTCCACCAAGAAGCTCAAGGATGTCCTGGAAGAATTCCATGGGGATGGTGTCCTCTCAAGGTACAACCCAGAACAGGTATGTTCCTGAGCCCTCCAGCCTCCACCATGCAGCTCCCAGCACCCCAATGGCTTCCGCAGCCCAGCTCCCACAGCTAAAAGCAGCTGGGAGAAGGCAGGTCTGTCAGTCCACCCTCTGCCTCTCTCCATGGCCATACTCCCAGCACTGGGAAAGATGCTTTCACAAACAGGAAGCATCTTTCCCAGCCTCCAGCCACATACTCCCCTCTCCAGAGACATACTGGGGACTGGCTTGCCACTCCGCCATCGCACCTCATCCCCCCCATGCTGCCAGGACCCCCTGGCCATGCTGGCATCCAGTGCTGGCTGCAAGCACTGCAGGGAGATGCATGAGGTGCATTTTGGGGCATCTCCTTGCCAGGGAGAAGCCAGGAGGGATTTTCTGTCTCTTTCGCCCCAAAAGCAAATGATTTTGCTGTTGCCAGCGTGGGAAGAGGGGAAGGCCCCATGCCTTCTTGCTCTTGCCTGGGGAAGGCTGGGGTTATTTTTTCCAAGTGGTGCTTTCAGAGAGACCTATTAATGTGCCAGCAGGACAGAGCCTTTCACAGGGGCCATAATCACTAGAAATGAGGCAAAATGAGAAAAATCAGTGGGCTGAACGCATTGAGGAGGGGCAGCAAAACTACCCTGCTATTGAAGGGCACCACAGGACCCTCGCTCTACCTGGGGCCACAAAAGCCATCAAGAAGGCAACGTTCTGATGTGGTGAGGATTTAAAGAGGAGGCGAGGAGACCTGGAGAGGACAATAGTTCCCAGGGCTGTGGGTAGGTTGGAGAGTCCCACTGCTCTGTGTCCTGCCATGGGAGCAGGAGGCTTTCAGAGCATGCTGCTGGCCTGGTTCAGCCATGCTGGCCCCCAGGAGCCAGCTGGCACTGGGTATGTTTGGCCCTGCTGCCTCTGAGTCTCTTTAGGTTGTATCCCACCACAGGGGTTTGAGAAACTGCCTGTTTTGGGGAGGGTTCTGCAGCTGATATGCCGGCAGAGAAGGGCCCAAGCCACAGGATACCCCACCTCCGCTGGCACCTCTGCACCCCTACAGCATCATTCTTCTCTGTCCATCATTCTTCTCTGTGCCCTCCCCAGCCCATTGACTATGAGGGCTTTCACCTCTTCATGAAGACCTACTTGGAGGCAGACGTGCCTGAGGAGCTTTGCCAACACCTCTTCACCTCCTTCAAGCGTAAGATATGTCAGGTGTCCCCCGAGACCCAGCACCAGAGCCCCAGCGTCTTGCAGCACAACACCCTTGGTAAGCCAGCCCCTGACACCCAGCTGGGCATGCTGTGGCACGCTGGGCTCTCTCACATGCTGCCCCACAGGGACAGAGGTTGTGGGGTGACACCTGCAAGTGGGAGGCATCAGGGCCAGCACACTCTGCCCCATCCCAAGGATGGGCTCCCAGGGGCCCTGCACTGCTCCAGGCAGGCAAAGGCTTTTCCTGGGGTGGAGAACTAGAGGGCACCATTGCACTGATTCCTCCCTTGTAGACCCCAGGTTCACTCAATGCCAGCATCTCCATCCAGAGCAAGAAGGCCTGCAAGGTACTTGTGCACCTCTCACAGGTACTGGTGTGGGCAGCCACTCGGAAGCAGGGGACATATGCCAGGCACCCAGCTTCCGCCTGCCCCTGCCCTTGCTCAGGTGGATTTGCAGTGCATGAAGACATCTGCTGAAGGGATTATAAACTGCAAGAGAAAAGGGAGAGCCCTCCCCAGGTGCTCGACTGTAGTGTTGGGGCTCAGGAGCAGCTCTGGCTGGTGGCAGGGGACCACATCCTCCCCACGTGGTCCCAAGCACCGTGGTGGCTGGCCCCCACGGATGAGAGTGCTGCTAGAAATAGCTGGGTCAGGCAGGAGAGTGAGGGTCTGCCTGTGGTGCCCTTTGGAGAGCCCTGGGACCAAGATGCCAGCCTGCTTTGGGATAGCAAAAACCCAGGATGAGTGACCAGCCCTGTGGCTGCCCCATCCCTGGCAGTTTTCAAGGCCAGGTTGGACACAGGGGCTTGGTCGAGTGGAAGGTGTCCCTGCCCGTGGCAGGGGAGTGGAACTAACTGATCTTTAAGGTCCTTTCCAACCCAAACCATTCTATGGTATGTCTGCTTTGCAGGGATCAATGGGAAAACACTTCTAAGTGCCCTAGGACGACACGCTCCTGAGCCCAAGAGCTGCCCCAGCAACACAGCTGAGCCACAGCCAGCATCCCTTACCCCAGCACCGATCCCCAATGCCTCCCCCAGCTGGTCCAGGTCATCCTCCCAGAAGTCCACCACCGGCACCCCTTCTGCTCACAACTCCTCTGGCTCTTCGAAGATCTCCTCCGGGTCCCTGCTCAGCCCTCAGTCACCAGGTGAGCTTGGCTGGGGCTCTATGGGGACAAGCCGTCCCTGGTTTCTCAAGCCGTGGAACCACACCTTGCCCTGGCGGTGCAGTTGGTCATGTCCCCAATGTGATAATGACCTTCCAAAATCAGTGGCTTCCTGGTATCAGGACACCTTTGCTTTGCAAACTTAAGCCGCTGATCCTGATCCACAGAGTCCTCAATAGTCAATTACCTGGCAGCAGCTCCTAGCAAGGGGGGATCGGAGCAGTGAGTCACGGCTGCCTCCAGCCCAGTTTCTGCCCCAGCAGAGCATGTCCCCATGGGTTCTTCCTGCGTATCCTGCCCACACCCGCAGTGCCAGAGGTGTGAAGGTCCACAGCCAGGCACCAACTTGCAGTGTTCAGCCCTGCTCCTGTGATGGGACCCAGCCCCACAGTAAATGGGTCCCTGCCCCAGAGTTGAACATGTCCCAGCTGGGGATGGCTCCTGGCCCAAATGGCCAGCCCTGTGCATGGCCTTCATCCCCCGCTCCTTGCCCGCAGGCACGAGGAGCGTGGAGAAGAGGTTACCCTTCAGCCTGCGAAAGAGCCACAGCTCCCTGAAAGCTGCCCCGCTGCAGCCTCCTGCGCCTGTGGCACAAGTGGTCCACCTGAAGGACATTGTCTGCTACCTGTCCCTGCTGGAGAGGGGACGAGCTGAGGACAAGCTGGAGTGTAAGTGGGACCCTGGGGCCATGGCATGCTGGTCACACTACACTGGAGGCACCTCCTAGGGGTTTACCTAAGGAGGGGTGTGGGGATGGATGTTTCTGCTCAGTTTTTAATGCTGAAATATTAAAACCACTTGAGAAAACTGCTCAGCATCACCCCTCTGCTCCTGCCTGCTGCTCCCTGTGTCTGACACAGACAGCTGGGGGGGGGCATGGCTTTGCTTCGATATCCCACAGCCCAGTCTGGGCTCAGGTCACATCCCATCCCAGAGCCCCATCAGCCCTGACACTGAGGACTGGCTGCCTGGGGTTCCCCAGGATTGGGGTGTAACTGGCAGCTGGCTTCTTTTCTCCCCCCAGTTATGTTTCGCCTCTATGATACTGATGGAAACGGCCTCCTGGACAGCTCGGTAAGCCTTCCCTTGGGAGAAAAGAAGCCTACTTGTGGGGCTGAAGGCATGCAGGGCCTGCTGTTGGGGTGCCTGGTCCCCTGGTGTGGTGCTCCAAGCTAGACAGGGATATGGGAAAGGAGGAAGAAGGCAGTAACATTTACTGTGGGGCTGGACCATGGGGCTGTGGGATGCATGCCAGCTCTGCAGCATCCAGCAGCAGTGAGAAGAAATCCACCCACCAGTAATTGCAGCTCTCCATCAGGTCACAGGCTTTCAGAAAAGAAAACTCATGCACAAACCCCTCCTTGGGAGTTTCCTTTTTCTCCTTTGGGTATCGCCCTTGAAACCTGTTGCAAATAAAAATCTGGTTTATCAGAGCAGTTTTTCTGAGGAGAAAACCCACTGCAGATCTTATGGCAGATTTCAGAGGAGAAAGCAGCTCCCAGAACCCACTGAGAAGTGGGGTATTGCTGGCCCCTGTGCAGGCAGGAGCCTGGGATGGACTTGGGTGTATCAGGATGTAGACCTGGCGGCTCGAGGCTGGACATGCCGTTCATGGCTAAAGCTGTCCCAGAGTGCCAGCCGCCATCATCTTTCTGTGGTCAGGAGCTGGATCGTATCATCAACCAGATGGTGCATGTGGCCGAGTACCTGGAGTGGGACTCCACCGAGCTGAAGCCTGTGAGTGCCTGGGCTGGGGATGCTGCAGGAGCTCTTGCTTGGAGCCAGCAGCTGGGGCTCGCAGGCAGCATCACCGTGTCACTGCATCTCCACCCTCTTCCAGATCTTGAAGACGATGATGGAAGAGATTGACTATGACCATGACGGGACTGTGACGCTGGAGGAGTGGATCCGGGGAGGCATGACCACCATCCCTTTGCTGGTCCTTCTAGGGATGGAGACGGTGAGTGCCCATGTGGCGGGGACCTGCTTTGGCCACATCCATCTGCCCCGCCCACTCCAGGAGGAAAGCCAGGGGCTTGCTGAAGCGGGAGAGGAGGGTGGCAATGGAGAGCATGCAGGGACCCCACCTGTAGCAACAGGCTACACACCCATCTGGCATCACACAGCCCCATGCTGGCCCCTGCTTCCCAGCCCCAGCAGACACCCTCACCGTGCATTTGCTGACCGGCCTTTGCCCCCCAAATCTTCACAGGCTCAGTTTTGAGCTGCAGTCATTGCCATCTGCTGTGCCCAAGCAGACTGGGCTTGCCGCTTGCCATTGTAGTATACTCTAGTTTAATCAATGTTTAATAAAAAAGTAAGATGATCATGTAATATGACAGCTCCTCTCCTGGTGTGATCTTCAAAGAACAGGTGGGGTACTTTCAGATCCCTCCTTATTTCACCGTGTTGCTTTCATCCTTTTGGAGTTAATTTTATCAAGGTGCATCCCTAGCCATAGTTTGCCATGGCTTTGCTCTGTGGTGCTCCTTCTGGCAGTTGCTTCTTACAGAGTCAGGAGGGCAGGTTTTCTGATACAAACATTCAAGAAAACGGGGAATTTTAAGTGGCTCCTGCAATGCACTCAAGCCTGGACCCAGATGTGAGAGGCTTGGTTTGGTCGCCCTGTGGTGGCGGGGGCCTGTCCTCACATGCGGAGTCATGCTCCTATTGGCCACCAGCAGAGAATTCCTGGCTGTGCTGAGGGACTGTGCGGAGCTGGAGCTCGGTGCCAGGAGTGCCAGGAGCTGGACATGCCCAGGGAGCAGGGGCATACAGCAGCAGGGATGCTGATGGGAACACCAGGCAGCAGGGGGACCCCAATGTCCAGCTGGGTGTGAACTCCTGCAAACAGAGTGGGGGCTTTTCCAGAACAAAAAGTTGTCAGAAGTGGTGGACTGAGTGCACGGGGGGCCCTCAGCACAGGGCAGTGACCCCCCCTCACCCTCTGCTTCCTGCCCTGCAGAACGCGAAGGACGATGGGCAGCATGCCTGGAGGCTGAAGCACTTCAAGAAACCTGCCTACTGCAACTTCTGCCACACCATGCTGCTGGGGGTCCGCAAGCAGGGCCTCTGCTGCTCCTGTGAGTCACGGGCCCTTGCCAGCTCCCTCGCAGCTCCCACCCCATTCCAGTGCCACAGGGAGGGGGGACTAGGCTCTGTCAGTGCTGAGCCCCACAGGTGCTGCAGAGAGGGGATGCTGGGGTGTGATGCTCACCATCTTCGTCTCTCCTGCCAGTCTGCAAGTACACCGTCCATGAGAGGTGTGTGTCCAAAGATATTGCCTCCTGCATCAGCACCTATGTGAAATCCAAGAGAAACACAAACGTGAGTAGGTGGCTGGTGCACTTCTGAGCTGGTGGCTCTCCCTTGGAGTTCTCCCAGGGGCAGCTGGCCCCTTTGTCTCCTGCCCTTGTCCCACATGGTCTTTTCCCCTGGGATTTGCCTCTCCGGGGCTGGTCAGCAGCTCACGGTCATTCTCAGCATCCCAAGCCTGGCAGGGTAGATCCCATCCCCATCCCCCAGGGATCCGCAGGACACCAGCATCAAGGTTAGACATGGCTTCAGGTGGAGATGGGTGTCCTCAAAGTGCTGCATGGAGCAGCAGCAAGGGAAGGTGGCCTGTGAGGGGCTATTTTGGATCAGTCCATATCCCTGCACGGCACAGCACCTTCCAGAACCTCAGCAGCAGTGGAGAGGCAATGCCTGTGGGTCAGTGGGTGCTGTGCCCGCAGTGCCCCCCATACCTTGCAGGTGATGCAGCACACGTGGATTGAGGGAAATTCCCCTGTCAAGTGTGACAGATGCCACAAGAGCATCAAGTGCTACCAGGGCATCACCGGCCTGCACTGCGTCTGGTGCCAAGTCACCGTGAGTATGTGGGTGCGCTGGAGCCGGGGTGCGCCCTGCAGTGCTCCCCGCACAGCTGGCCCTGGGGAGGAGAGATTCACAGACAGGAGATGGCAGCATATCGCCTGCCCAACCTCCCTTCCTCCCGTCCCCTCCAGCTCCACAACAAATGTGCCTCCCATGTGAAGCCAGAGTGTGATGGGGGTCCACTGAGGGACCACATCTTGCTGCCTTCCTACATCTGCCCTGTTGTCCTGGTAAGTGCCCCCTCCTTGCTGCTGGGTGGCAGGGACCTCGTGGGGCATCACTGTGGCCAACCCACCTCCCCTAGCTGCTGGCACTGCCTTCTCGGGGTGGCGTGCGCATCCGCGCCTCTGTTCCCCAAAGGACAGGCAGTCCCACTGCCGGAGATTCGAGAGCGACTCCCCTGCCAGCACCAACCCTGAGGACAGCCAGGGCTTCAAGTTCAACCCCAGCACAGTGGATGGGCAAGGACTGCAGGTAGGTTCCCACGGTGGGGACCACCAGCTCTGCTGTGGGTGCATACCGAGCCCTGCAGTGGTGCTTTCTGCCCTCCAGATCAGCCCACGGCCCGGGACACATCCCCTCCTGGTGCTTGTGAACCCCAAGAGTGGAGGAAGGCAAGGGGAGCGGTAGGTGGATCCTGCCCAGGGACAG